AATTATAGATAGTTTGTGTTTTCAATGTTTATTGTGAATTAGGATATTTGATGATGTTAGAAGACAGCAGGCAAGTCATCTCTATGAGTATAGTTTTACAGAACATACTCTGTGTGTAACTGATATCATCATGGGTTATGGTGGAGGCAACGCAATTATTGTGTCGGCTTCTGAGGACCGGACATGTAAGGTTTGTTCTGCTTTTATTTAAAGCCCAAATGCATGCAATATCTTGACAGATGACATAATAATCACTGTAATAGAGCATGGTTTTCTTCAGCAACTGATGCATTTGGATCAAACCGAAAAGAGATACTTTCTCAAAAAAATAATGGACATTATAGTTATTTGCGTAGTTATCACTTTATTATGACTAATCTATCATGCTGGTAATAGAACCTTATTTTGAGGAAACTCTTTTGACTTGTTCTGCAATTAACAGATGTTTTTATGCTGCAGTCTTTCTGATAATGTATGGTGTTGACCTTTTTGTTCTACTAGTTAGTTTGTAAAGTGTTCCTGATTTAATGTGCATTGCTAATAGGTCTGGAGCTTATCAAGGGGAAGATTATTAAGAAACATTGTATTTCCTTCCATCATTGCTGCAATTGCTCTAGACCCTGGTGAACATGTCTTCTATGCTGGAAGTCGAGATGGTAAAATCTATATTGCTGCACTGAATGCCGAAAGTTCACCTAGCAACAGTTATGGGTTGCACATCATCGGTTCATTATCTGATCACAGGTGTGTTATTCTGTTAGTTGTTTTTGTTTCACCCATCTTTACAATTTTTTCTTAAGTAATTCTGACAAGGTAGTCTGTGATCGTCCCCTAGATTGAATGTGCTATGGTTGTACTCATGGCTGTTGAAATAACTGACTGTTTTATGGTCTGGTTTCTAATTCTATGATTCATCCCCTAGATTTAATGTGGAGTTTATAAATACTTGTGATTTTTATGTATCCAAAAAAGAAGAAAAAATGAAAAGGAGCAATTCACACCAACATTAAGTTGCCTGTATGTCATAATTGAAGACTAACTAACAGTATTCATAATTGGTAGTTTTTAATGTTGCACATCCTCATCAAAATTTTATAAAGTTTCTTGTTATATCTTTCATACTAACTTTTACTAACAGTTTTACAATATATTTGGACAGTAAAGCTGTTACTTGCTTGGCATATAGTGCAGAAAGAAATTTGCTACTATCCGGATCAGAGGATGGCATGGTTCGAGTTTGGGATGTGAAAACCCAAAACATCATTCGCATGTTCAGACATGCCAAAGGTTTCATTTGCACAACCTGAAGTATTTCTTGTTTTCTATGAAAGGCTCTGATTAGGTTGCATACTTTTAATTTTGGAATTTATCTTCTATGCACACTGACGGTTCATGTTTGCGTCTTCTTCTTTAAACCAAATCAGTTATATATATGAATAAGCATAGCTACTGGTTTTTCACTTTCTGTTTTGTAGTTGTCATCCTTGCTGCATGTGTAAATATATTACCACAATCTTAAAGGAGGAAAAAGTAGGGACCAATACAGTCTATTGAGCAAGCAGTGAAACATTCAAAGAGAGGACCATGCAAGAGAAATGGAAAGTGGAATAAGTAGTCTGTCAAGTTATGCTAAAAACCATTGTAAATACTGAAGGATTTACCAGTTATGGGCCTCTTGGGCTTGGGCACTTGGCTAGGATTTTGTGACGTGCTGAGAATGTCATATTAAGGTTTGATCTGAATGAAAACGTTGTTTTCCTTTATCCAAATTGAATTAGATACTACAAAGAGTTAATCTGTAACACTTAAGAAAATCTGTAACACTTAAGTAAGTGCTTTGCTAATAGATTCATGCTCATGATCAACGCACTAAAAAATATAGCATGGGAGGGAAATGCGAATTTTAATTTGCTAAAGCTAGATTTTAGTACACAGGTATTTCATCTTATTCGAGCTTATAGTTTGTTTTATAATTTTGCATATAATGCGTCATTCTTCCATTTAGTGTGGCCTTTCCTTTTCCATTTTCCTACTATACCTTTGCATGATGTTCTTTGGTATGCTATCATTTAATCGATGTCCAATAATATTCAGGCCCTGTGAACAATATTCTCATTGTTAGTCGTCCACTCTCCCTTGGTCGGGCAGTATCAAATGCGCAAGGTTCCTCAAGAAGGCATGGATCATCACTCCCACCTCCACTAGAAAAATATGCAAATTCAACAGATGAAGACATGGATAATAAAGCTATCCTTACTCTCCCAGCTGCTAGCAACCTTCCTCCTGATGCTGCATACCTCAGTTCTCAGCTAATCAATGATCACATTAAAGAGCTTCAGGTTTTCTTTACTGCTTATTGCGTGTTTATGCACCATGTAATTATTGTAGTTTCAATTTCACTTACTCATTACTGCTGACTGCAGGTGTCATGGCCATCTTCATAATTTTCTTAGTGTTACTGACTTTAATCATTTGCTGTATATATTTTATATTCCATAAACTTGAAACCGTCATCTGAGCCCTTCTTCACCCCTTGCGTGCAGCAACAAGGCTCTTCTGCTGCAGCTGAAATGGAGGTGGAGATACTGAAGCTTGATTGCAAAAGATCTATGCAGATGGTTCAGCAATGGAAACAAAATTATGACAACTTGCAAGAGTTCTGCGTCAATGAGCTCTTAGATGGGGAGGAAATGGGAGGATCCAAAGGGAACTCACCCTAACACAGTTTTCTTGTTATTATAACCCCCTTGTTTGACTTATTATTTTTTGCTCATTTCTAATTTTCATTGGGGAATTAGTTTTGTATGTTTATGATACACGATAGTAAACAATGTTGTGGCTGTATCAAATACAATGTAACAAGAAGGCCATAGCAAATTTTGTACCTTCGTTGTGGAACATACTCTAGAAAGATTATGAAGATTCATGACAGGTGTGCAAATGTTCACTTTTACGAGTAATGATCCTGTTATGCAATCACTTTTTAGTTGGTCGGGATTGTCTTGGCAGCAAAACTACAAAACTCAGAGCACATGCAATGCTAGTGTGACTGCAAAGTTACTCTAATTTCATTTCCATGGATTTAAATATTATTATGCATCACCATATTCAAATATATGAGATTTAATAAGATCATATATATATATATATATATATATATGATATAATATAAATATTTATTTTATTGTATAGTAGACATTGTACTAAATCCGTCAGCAGATGTGAATTATAAATTATGCATAGGCATTTAAATGTATAATTACTTTCAAATAATTAATACCATTAAGAAAATTATTAAAACTTGTAATCAGAGTATCTTATCCCAATACAGAAAAAATTAGTAGTTATTCCACACATGACTTAATTAGCTCGTGAGATCACCACGCGTATCATGACGCACAGGGCACTCGCCACCAAACAAAGCAAAGTTTACCAAATAGTGAAGTAAATTAAAGCCTGCTCTGCTCTCCTTCCACTACCAAACTCTGATCTCTTTCTTCACACAGTACTCTTTTTCCTTCCAGAGACACATGCCTTTGCCCACTATTGTTTTACTCTTCACAACTTACAAGCCGTGAAAAATGGGAGGGACAATAAGTTGGAGAAAGGTAAAGAGTCCCCAAGATGCTTTTGAGTGTCTGCTTTGTGCAATTGGGCAACTAGAAAACGATCCAAAATTCAAAGTGTTGAAAATCATGTAGACAGAGAGAGGGAGAAGTGGGACCATTTTTGGATTGAATAAAATAGTTTTTTCCTTTCATTCACTGAGCCTGCCCTGCCCCGCCCTGCAGTTCCCGATGCGGAATGGTGAAGAAAGTGGGAAGCAATAATAATAATAATAATAATATGTTCGTTTTCTATGTTGGGCTGATAATATATATAATAAATACAAAAGCATTATAAATGGGATGTGGGGAAGAGAAGATAAGGTGGTGCAACTGTGATAATGCAAAGTAAAAGAAACCAACCCAACAACAAGATCTATCTCCCCTGGATTCTTTTTATCCAGTCGAACCTCTTCTTGCAGAGAACATGTCTCTTTATTCATGTCTGTCTCAATATTAAATCAGAAATATCAACACCCTTTATTTTTTATATATTAATGTTTACACAGAGAGAGAGAGAGAGAGAGAGGGGACCGTCGGGGGTGCCTTTTTCGGTTTGCCAATCTGAACAGATGCTTGGAATTCAGGGTGCTGAAAGGGTTTTCTTTGTTTTGGATTGGTGTTGCAGAAGAAAAAAAAAGGAACGAACAGGCAACACCTAACAGTACATGTTTCTTTTCCTATGCCTCCTCTCTCCAATCTTCACCCCCTACCTCTGCGGGGTACAACTGTCATCCAGATGACACAACTCCTCACTCTCTCTTGAGTTTACTCTATTCTTTTATTACCCTTTAGGACACCATATTGCACTCAAGGACGTGGAACAAATTTGTTCCATCCTCTTCCTTATCATCAAGGAGAATGACAGCAATACACTTGCACCAATCATAAACAGATATGCACTGACTTGAGGAAACTTTTCCAATAAAACTTAATTTTATTAGGTATGGAATGTTTTATGTTGGTTTTTGCTTGTACATGCAAATGCAATAGATGACTCTCACTGCCATAACAATCAAATAACTAATCACCAATGTGGCTATACATAAACTACAAGACGAAGAAAGTTAAATTCAAAGACTGTAAGAGATATAATCCCAGCAAATTCGCTTAGGCTTAGCTGTGCAATATTCTTGCGTGGCTTCAAAGATACAGCAGCAGCACTAATATATTTGTACTTTACGTGCATGGATTGCTCAAACCACTCTTGAGAATTTTAAACCCATTTGTCAACCGAGCTCCGCTGTTTCTTTGGCAAAGCAAAAAAAAAACTGAGTATATCAACGAAGCTGCCAAACCAATTAATTCACTGTTGTCTCTTACAAAAATGGCACAATCAAAGCTTTGTCGTTTGCTGGAGGGTATTGGCTGTTAACCCTCATATTAATTCACTGTCCAGAGCTTTCCTTATCGACGTCTACATCATATCATTGTGTGTCCACGAGCAGCCCCACAGCTAGGGGATGATCAGAATCTTAAAACCAATATACGAATAAAAGAAAATATTGTAATACATATATGGAAATTCTCCGAAGGTAAAATATGAAAGGAAATTTACAGTAAGAAGCCAGAGATTCCTGCACCATCAAATTCAAAGAGGTAGGAATGAAAAATTTTGGAATTCTTTTTCAAAATTTAGTATCAACTTGGTAGGAAAACCTGTTATAATTAAGTGTGTGCAGTGAAAGCTGTACCAAACTCAATAGAACAGCCAACTCTAAGCTGTACAGCATATCAAAAAAACGAACACACAGATAGAGAGAAACAACAAAACAATAAGCTTTTCCAACTTGTTAGCACGTTGGAGGATCATCGTATTCTTCTGTACCTTTAGGCACATCTTTATTGAAAATATAAAATTGCTTCCATTGATGCGAGTAATTACAATACAAATAATCTCATTTGTACTTTATACTAACATTTTCCCATGGTTCCAACATGAATCGAACTTCTCTCCAACTCAACACATTTCCTTTCAGAACAAGCTTGGAGGGTTTTGAATATGGAATGGATTTAGCAACTGCCTTGACTTGCTCAGCAAAATATTCACTGCTTTTTTTTATTATTATTATTATTATTTGGATGGAAATAGGAATATTTTTTTTGTCAATTTCAAATAAAAACGTTAGGTGAGATAAGACTCAACGTCATATTAAAAGCCAAAAAGATAAAAGTTTGCCAATTATTTTGCATATATCATTAAATAAGAATTCGAGTCATTTTCCATTGTTGAATTTCAGTCTTCCTCTTTGTTTGTACTCTAATGTGAATTAACTATATTGTACCTGGCATGACATGAATCACACGCTGGTAACTTTCCTTTCTTTCCATTTTTACAAAGGAAAACTTGATTAATTGATATGTACGTGACTGATGGGTTAATTAAGTTGAGCAGAGCAAGGCAGGGTAAAGTTCGTTACCAATTCCAGAACATGGAGCAGGTTGGCATCAGAAACCTGATCCATCTCGAAGAGCGTTCCCCTTGTGGACGGAGGGGAGTGAAGGAAAGAGCCCAAAGGAGGGGGGTTGTTTGGTTTAGGCTGTACTTGCCTAAAGAAATTCGAGATAAACTGGGGCAAACAAGTAAGAATAATACACAGTAGGAGTAGGTCCGTCCCACTGGACCATCGCCACGTGGGCATCGCCACTGAATCCCATGGCACCCGATTCCCACACCGCTAAAACGGGGAAAAGAGAAACTCATTTAAAGGGGGTCTGGGGAGGTCTCTGACGCCTGTCACGTGACTGTGGGGTTTCCGGTTTTGGAAGGGGGTTCTTAAAAAAGAAAGTGAAAATTTTAAGGCAAAGTTAGAGGCCACCCAACAGTTTCCCCTTCCCCCTCCCCACTATTTACTCTGTTTTTGTTTTTGTTATTATTTCTCTGTATGTGACTTTCAGAGCAAAATAATGATTCATGCACCATCAAAAGCACTTATTGTATTCCCTGGAAAGAACAGTTGTTAGATCTGAACCCTTCAAATACTGGTGGAGCCACAAAATTTCTCCCATCAACCCCTCTTTGGTGGATTCCCAATCTCTTTTTCCTCTTCTCCTACATTTCTTTCCCATGTTTAATTGTAGAAACTAGTCCTTTTTATCATGTTATGTACTCTGTTACATTATCAAAAAATCCACACAAAAAAAAAAACATTACCCTTTGGAATTTACAAAGTGATGATCATTGTATATTTATTCTTACAACAAAGAGAGTTCAACATGTTCTATTACACCCAGAATTTACCATATATAGTAGAGTCTAGAGAACAGGGAACATTCTTTTTAGATATATATATATATATATATATATAGGAAATGGCTCATTTTTTAACACAAAAGGGAAGATGGCAACAATTAATTTTTAATTTGTCCAGATAAAATGAGTCAATTAGAGCACGGTTCATGATGTCCTTGTTTGTTGCACTCCTCATAAAATAGAATTTCTCTATCTCTAAGCATGCAATCCTGTTTCAGAAATATTTAAAACAAAGAAACAAATTTCATGGAAAACAAACGAAAGCTCAACAACTTTTATCTGTGAGATATTGAATAAAAGAAATTGGAAAAGGATTTTATATAATTATAATAATATTCACCCACTTGTTATATATAGTCATCAAGCTAGATTGATAGCCTGTTCCCGATATATCACTATTTTATTCTTTTATATTTTCCCCCTCACTTCTTCTCTCCTAACCCTTTGTAAGTTGTATCTATTTCTTTCCTTCACTGCACGTTCTGATAAAACTCCTAGTCTCACTCTTCTCTTTTATCTTTCCCATCCCTCTGTCTATCAGTTTTCTCTCAGTTCTAACTCTGCCTTTAAGTACTTACTCGTTTTTTTCCTCTCCTTTCTGATCAAATATAACTTCCTTTCTTTCCTCAATTCCCTTTTTTTTTTAACAGAGAGAGAGAAAAAATAAAGTGAAAGAAAGAGAAAAATAGTCATGGAAATTGACCAGTTAAAGTCTGCAACAGAAGAACAGATGGCGATGATGATGATGGTGCAGATGGACAAGCTCCCCGAATTCTACGGGGCCTACAACGACGTCGTAGAGTTGTCCCCAGCTGAGCTTGCTGGTGCAAGCAGCAATAGTTCCAATAATAGCATCAGTACTGCCACGCCACATTTTGTCGAAAACCCACATGTTGGTAATTCACCCCCATTCATGAACCTGCCAACTAATATTTCTTTCACTGGTTCAACTCCGGTTCAGGAAGCAGGGCCCCCCGGTTTCCTGTCTAGCCCTGGCAGTGCAAGATGGAGAGGTGCAGGGGAATCATCAGGTGCAACTGCTTTTTCTACACTCTCTCAGAAGAAGAATTCCATGGCTGCAAT